ACATGATCACAGCTCACTGCAGCCTTGCCCTCCCTGGGCTCAAAGAATCCTCCCACCTCAGCCTCCCGAGTAGCTGGGGCCAAAGGCACATGCCATTACACCCAGCTAATTTTTTTACTTTTAGTAGAGATGGGGTCTTGCCATGTTGCCCAGGCTGGTCTCGAACTCCTGGGCTCAAGCGATACATCCATCTTTGCCTCCCAAACTGCTAGGATGACAGGCATGAGTCACTGCACCCAGCCCAAACTCTCATTTTTATAGATGAGGATTAAGAGATGTAGACCTTGCTGTCCAGTATGGTAGCTACTAGCCACATACGGCTTCTAAATTTTAACTTAATTAAAATTCAAAATTCAGTCACACTAGCCAAATTTCAGATGCTCACAACCACATGTAGCTAATGGCTACTGTATCGAGAGTGTGGGTCTAGAACATTTCCATCATTACAGAATGTTCTAGCGGACGGGGCTGCTCCAGAGCTCATTACTTAAAGGGTAGTCTGCTGATTGGCAGCAGGAACACAGGCGTAGCTAGGAGCTAGTTAGAAATAGAGATCTCAGGCTCTACCACAGACCAACAGAGTCAGAATCTATAATTTACCATGATCCACAGGAAGTCTGCATGCAGATTAGAGTCCAAGAAGCCCTAAAGTCATGTGATTTTTTTTTTTTTTTTGAAAAGTCACTACAGCTGATTTTCAGCCCCTTCCCTTGACCCAGCTACTACTTTCCCTTATCATCCTGTGTCCTTCTTATCTCCCTGCCACACTTGCTTTCTCAATATGTTTTATTACAGCATTTCTTTATAAATATTTACAGGCTGGACATGGTGGCTTATGCCTGTAAAATCCCAGCACTCTGGGAGGCCAGGAGTTTGAGACCGGCCTGGGCAACACAGTGAGACTTGTCTCTACCAAAACCAAAAACTATTTACAAAGCAGCCAGGCCACTGAAGCCCTCATAAAACATCCTCTTCTCCATGCCCTCACCCTCATTCTGGTTTGTAAGTGCTTGCTTGGCAGGCTTGTGATAAAGGCCCAGGCCCCTGTGATGGCTGTGGTATTGCTCAGCACTTTCCCTGGGGAACTGCTGTTGGAGGGCTGGAAATTAAAGCCAACATTGAACCCAGTGGGGCACCAGTCATCAACCAAGAGTATGGCACACTTGGTCTTGGTGGGACAATGGCAGCATTCAGTCTTTAGGCTACAACCCTGGGGCAGAACATGCAGAGCAAACTCTGTACTTGCTTTGTTCAGTGTCATATCTGGCCATCTGCCTGGAGAGTACAAAGCAGGTACCGGCAATCTCCAAAAGTAAGCACTGCTCAACCAGGTAACTGGTTAGTAGGTCACAAAAAGGAGTTAATTTGGAGGTAAGGGACCAAGCTGGCCTTAAAACTCTGAGAGGTCTGCTTTCAGGGCACCACCAAAGTTCAGGGAGGTAGTGATGGAGGAAGTCTGGTCCAAGCTGTGGTTCAAGTATGTGGGGCCCTTGGGGTATAGGTTGCAATGACATGTATTGGTCCATTGTCTCCCAAGAAGACACAGTCCAAGGGCTCCAGGGTGGCATAGTGGTCAGGATAGAGTTGCAGGGTTCCATCATTGCTGGCAACACCCAGGGGATAGGTGGATGGCCAATTCTAGCTTGGATTTCTTGCCATTGTCGAAGATGACTCTTCATCAGCAGCAAGGTGAAGCCTGGGCCAGAGCTACTCCCAGAGTTGAGGAAGATCATGAAGTCCTATAGTCCTATGCACTGCTTGTCAGTTTCTGCATAAACTCTAGCATTGGATCAATGATCTCTTTCTCTCTTTTTTTCTTTCTTTTCTTTTTTCGTGACTGTGCAGCAGGCTCCAGGTCCATAAAGACCAAAGTGTTGCAGGAGTTGCTGCAAAATCCTAGGGTTTTGTTACTGGACTCAGTACCACTGGGCTTAGACTGTGTTCCAGGCAGTAGGGTCTTCAACAAACACTCTGAGAGGTGTGATTGTAGGGGATCAGTTTCTGCAGACATACTACAAATGTCTGACAACATTCTTGTGGAAGCTAAAGTAACTTCATCTTGGATGCTAATCCACAATGTTGATTTCTGAGTAACCCCAGTTTTGGGAAGGCCTCCAAGTTTTCTACTTTATCTATTTTCCTTTTATAAGAGCATGTGACAGCTGTTCTTACATTGTTATAAAGAAATACGATTGGGTACGGTGGCTCACAGCTGTAATCCCACCACTTTGGGAGGCAGAGGAGGAAGGATCATTTGAGGTCACGAGTTCAAGACCAGCCTGGCCAACGTGGTAAAACCCTGTCTCTACTAAAAATACAAAAAATTAGCCCGGCGTGGCGGCAGGCACCTGTAATCCCAGTGACTCAGGAGGCTGAGGCAGGAGAATTGCTTGAACTTGGGAGGTGGAGGTTGCAGTGAGCCAAGATCACACCACTGCACTCCAGCCTGGGCAACAGAACAAAACTCCGTCTTAGGAAAAAAAAAAAAAAAAAAAAAAAAACAAAAAAACAAACAACAACAACAAACAAGAAATATCTGGGACTGGGTAATTTATAAAGAAAAGAAGTTTAATTGGCTCATGGTTCTGCAGGCTGGAGAGGTGCTGGTATCTGCTTGGCTTCTGGGAAGGCCACAGGGAGCATTTATTCATGGCGGAGGGCAAAGCCGGAGCAGGCATCTTACATGGCTAGAGCAGGAGCAAGAGAGTGAGGCGTAGGGGCCATATACTTTTAAACGACCAGATCTCACAGGAACTTACTATTGCAAGGACAGCATTAAGGGGATAGTGCCAAACCATTCACGAAAATTCACCCCCAGGATCTAATCACCACCCATCAAACCCCACCTTTAACTCCAGCCTAGACTGGAGTTGTGGAAGTCACAATTCAACATGAGATTTAGAGAGGACAACATCCAAATTATATCAGAGCACATACTTACCTACCTGCCCTTAAGTCAAAACAACCTTGGTCTGGGAGGGTAACAGCACAGAGATTTACCAGTCTTGCTGCTGTCCAAGACCATGCTTCTGTCCGTAAGTTCCCTAATAAATCACCTTTTACTGATAAGCTGGATTTGTCTGCTTCATTCTTTAGTTTCTCAGCTCCTTCTGCATTTGGAGGTCACTTTGCATATATGGCCCTCTCATAAAACAACCAGGAATTCCTATAAAAATGTTTTTTATATGTTCTGGTCTTCCCTAAAACATTTTATGAATTAGATCAAACACAATAAAAAATTTACTAGTTATTACTATGCCTAAGAGATTATAAGTGGCTTTCCCCCCTCTAAATTACAGAAGACACCATTCCTATCCTAGAGGACTTTCTCGTGTAGTTGGAAAGATACTCGATAATGTTTATTAAAAAGCTGTAACAATTACGCAAGGCCGAGAATCTGACAGCTAGATGGTCGATAAAGATACGTTTACAGTGGGGCTCAGAGGAGAGAAAAAGAGGGAGGAGAGTCAGGGAAGGAGAGCAATGAACTGAGTCTAAAATAAAGGTTAATGTATTCGCATAGGATCTATCAAAACAGGAGCCGTATTTCAACCAATTGTTTTCAAGCACCTAGAACAAAGTGAGCCCATAGTAGATACACATGAAACACAAATGAATGAGTAGTAGTGGGTGGTAGAATTACAAAAGCAGGTTGCACCTGATGGTTAAAAAGCTTGAAAACAGGTCAAGAAATACTTCTATTTAGGTTAGTCATTTCCCCTCAATAACTCTAACTACCTAAACATCGATTTTTTTTTTTTTTTTTTTTTGAAACGGAGTTTCCTTCTTGTTGCCCAGGCTGGAGTGCAGTGGCCTGATCTCGGCTCACCGCAACCTCCGCCTCCCGGGTTCAAGCGATTCTCC